TCATTAGGTATGCATTGATTTGTGGGGTTTTGTAACTTTTCACTTTTAAAAGGGGCCTGGAGTAACATATTTCTGATATTATACCTGTATTTGAACAGCACCATCCATTAGCTAGTACTTTCCATAAAGACAGAAAAAAAGCTTACCTAGCAAATGAAGCATTGTTTTCCTGAAAGTCTTAATATACTGTACTTGCTGGTTTAGATTGGCTCCAGTTTAACAAAATACTTAAGCACGTGTGTAACACTGAGAATTTAAGCAATCCTTCCTTGTTCAGAAAAGAATGACATTTCAGTCCCATTAGTGACACTTTGGTCTGCATAGTATCAAGTACGCGCTGAAATATGTTGCTAAACCAGAAGGAGAGCAAGGTCCTCTCTTTGGTAGGTCAGATATCAGTCAGAAATGAATCTCTTACCCAGACCTAAATGACTAGAAAGCTAGGAGTATTCAATAGCAGAATAAGAGTTACGGTCCTCTGCCTTACAGAAGACAGCACCGCCAGTGAACTGCAACAACCCAGGAGCTGCTGTGGTGACCAGTGTGTATCAAGGTGTCCCTTGGTGGTCTAAACTGGGCTAGAACAATTTTGCCACTGCCATGGATTAGTAAACACACCGACGAATTTGTCAAGGGAGATGCAGTAAAGGTTAATTATTTAAATCTGACCTAGATTTCCCATGCTTCTATCTTGTTCCATAATAATAACAGTAAGTTCCACAGTAATAATTTGTTATTCGGACTAAAACTAGAATTAATTATGACCCACACTGGACAAGAAGTAGCTTGTTCCTCACTCTCCATCCCAGCTGGGGTACGTAAGTAGGTGCATAACGCTGCCCGTTGAAACTAGAGATCATTAAATCACATTAGGATGTAAAGGGTGTATTTAGTCCCATGGGGGGATAGTAAGTGCAGATGACAGTTTCTCTCCTGTATCCCCTCATTCTTAACAGAGAAATATGTTGAAACTGTTTACAGGTAGTCTCTTTTAAAGCCACATGTATCAGGAACTGGGGTGCTTATATATGTGTGAGTATGTGCAAGCACGTGCCACAGAGACGGAGGGAGAGAAAAAGTCACCATAATGCATTCTGCAGAAAAATGAGGTTTATCTGGAGACTAATAAAAAAATAATTTTGGCAGCAGAGAAGTCCTGAGTGAGGTAGCTTAATGTTTGTACCTTTGTCGCCCATATGGTAAAGTCTCAAGTAGAATATCTAAAATAGTCATATCTAAAAGCCAGAAGAAGAAAAAAAAAACTCTCCCTTAGTTCATATTGCATGGGCTGTCTGGCTGGAGGCCAAAGTCATGACAGCTTGCATTGTGGCGGGGAGAGCAGCGCGGCTCCCTGATCAAGGTCAGCAAATTTTTAATGAACGGAGCTTGATTACTGCTCCCTTTGTGGGGAAAGGTTGTTTGGAGGTGAACGAGGCTCTGTGCACAGAGGTATTCCACACGCACCCTCCTTCGTTCTCAAAACCAGACGAGCTGGAGCTGTGTCCAGTAGAGTTCCTCGCAGCTGGGGAATGCCTTCCTGAGAATTCGGCACAGTAGCTCTGTGAACTGAGGCTGGTGCATCCTTATCTCGGCACGCAGCACCTGCGGTCAGTAGTCACCGTACCACTTCATCACATCTCCTGCACGGTAGGGTCCCTCAGCTATTATAAGGCTTGCCCTCGCGAGGTTTTGCATTCCCAGACCTAGGACTGCAGGGCTGCTGGGAATGTTTGACTGGTTTGGCATTTAAATCCAAGCCTTATCCCTCTAAATCATATATCGAGTTTTCTAGGACATCCCTTTGTTATGGAATGGATTTGGGGTAAAATCAGTCCCGCTGCAGTCTCAAGGGCATTTTATGATTTGGGATTAGCAGGACCAGAATTTCAAACATGGGTTCTTTCTAGAGGAGGGATCAAAAATGGGCGAGAAAGTTGAGTTCTGGTATTAGAGCTTGTCATAAGAGCTACAGCCTTCCAGAAATGTCAAATTCCCGAGAGTGGCTGTGGGTCAGAACTTTCCACTAAGCTTCTCCTCTGGAAGCAGATCTGCCTGAAGATCAAATGACAGACACCAGAAAGCAATGCTTGTTTACATACTCAGAGTTTAAAATAAGAAATTTGCAATCATGTTTATGTTTAAAAAGGGTTTCTAAAAGTTCTTTGTGAAGAGGCAGCACTATTTGCTTTTCCAAAGTAGTAAGCAGAACCTTTTCTCTGTTATTCATAGCCTGTTTGGGAAGTGCTTGCCAGCATCTGTGGGCAAAGCTGTTTAAAAACAGTTCTCTACAAGAATAAAGTTGTAAAGCTATAAAGCATTTTTTTATCTTGGCAAACCAAAATAATTTTTTCCCAGTATTTCAGGAAGACTCTGACATTCCCAAAAGTTCATTAGCTTGACTGTTTTGGGGAGGGGTTTTCTTTTTGCCTTTAATCTTCTACTGATATTGAGAGTGACTTTGTTTATAACAATACAGGGCTATTTTTTATTACTCCATGTTTAGATGCTAGCTCTCTTATTGACCTTTTTAACTAGGTTTTGCTTTGAACAAAAAAGTAATGGATTTTGTTGTTTTAAAAAGAACAGCTTTGGTGTTAAATTGGATTCCAGCCAGTGGGATTGATAATCTAATTCTTACAAGAGAATCAGAGTTTAGATATTAAGAGCTGGAGCACTTCATTGTCCATATGGAGCATTGTTGTAAAATCAGAAAGTTCTAAATTCTTTTTTTTTAACTCTATATTTCCCTATGTCAAAGAGTTAAAATATATCTTTTTCCAGCTTGCTGTTGGTTAGCAAAGTATTTCCTCACCGTCTGCTGTAGAAAAGAATCATGCATATTTGATGTCTTTCTCCTTTTCTCCTTAATATTTCAAATAATTCAGCTAGACTATCTCCGTCAATTGGGTAAGTGGAGCTGTAACACCTACTTAAGGGAGGGGAGCCATCTGGTTTCCTTGCAACTTGGAGCCTGCTGGCAAATATTAGGTTGTACCAATTTAGAGCATGATGAAGTGGGAAATAATGGACATTCTTGAAGAATCTGAAATGGGATCAGCTGTTATTGGCAAAAATTGGCAGGTGCAGTGCACTATGCTGGCTGTAAGCATGGTCTCAAGTTGGAGAGTGCAGCTGGGAAAATGACCCGCTAATTGAATGGTTGCAGGACTCCCAGCAGCTCCCGACAGTAGTGGAGCATCATTAATTGGAGGCTCTTGGTTGACTTGGTGGAAGCTGTCACAGAATGAAGGATCCTGCAAGTTGATGTTTACTTTCTAGGTGTTAGCGTGTTTATTGCCTCTTCCTCAGTATGAGTCTTCGTGGAGTCAGAGGTGCTTTTGAACTTAGGAGGACTGGCATAAGGCTAGCAATATCTACTTCTTATTTGTATTTACAGCATGGTGACAGTGGTTGGGAGTCATAAAAGCCACTCAATTACACATTTGTTTAACTGCACACTTCTGTTGTTATCTTCCCATCCCTCTCTTTTTCCCTTTTATTTTCACTTGTATTAGGTTTCTAAATTGGCTTGGCTTGGAGCAGCAACTATTCTTTCTTTTTATTTAGAGCCTGAGAAGACCTTGTCCTCGACTGAGTTTCTTGGATGCTGCCGTAATTCATACAGTGGTTATAGAAACAAAAATAGCCTGGTTTTGGTCCAGAATAGTATTACGCGCACCTCTGGTTTATGCGGGTCTCAGAATAGCAGTGTATGCAACAGCACATGTGCGTTAGCTGTGGCTCCCTTTTTCATATGTTGTTTTTATTCATTAAATGCAAACATATTGCGGTGCATCCTAGTTTAATATAAAGGTCTGTTGGCAAAATGTGGCATTTTCCCTCAGCTGTTAGCACCCCTTGAGGGAAGATCTATTGGCAATGAGCGCTGTGCAGAAAGCACTGCTGACTTCAGAGCGCAATTCGTGTCTCATCGGTGACAGTAGCATCCCGACGCGCCGAAAAACTCTCAAGCTATGTAAGGCGTAGCTTTCTTCTGTGCATTATGGTGGCTAGGAGGTAAAACGCTTCAGTGACAGCTTTGTCCCACCAACGTGCCTTTGGCATTTATAAGCACGAGGTTATCTGTGAGTGTGGATTGAATGAGGAACAGTGGGCTGAAAGCTGGCCTGAACATCCTGGTGCTCTGCTGTCTCTGTAGGCTGTAGACCAAGTTTTAAACCCTTTGGGAGGGCTGATGAGACCAATTTTTCAAATTGGACCCCGAGCAAGTCTTCCAGTGGCCATCATGCTCTTCCCCAGTTGAGGTGATACAGCTGGAAAAAATGCCTTCAGTTCGCGTCTGCGTTTGGATAACCTGTGTCAGGTGGGAGGCCAGGGGATGAAACTGGAAGGATTTGGAAGCTGTACCCCTGGGTCAAGACCCAGTGTGGCAAACATCAAGCATTGGCCTATGGTGGACCTGGGAATGGCTAGACATTGATGAAGAGGCTCCTGTCTCCTTCCCCCAGCTCTGCCTCTGCAGCCTGGGACAAGCTATTTCGGGGAACACCATTTTCTTAAATGCCATAGTTTGATGTGCACCCATTTGTGGTGCCTGGTTCTAGCCTAACTCTCCTGGATGCTTATTCTGCCTCTCTTTCAATTTTCCTGGCATTAAGAAGTGGATGGAAATAGCTCACCCAGCTTCAGAAACTTAAGTAAATTGGGCATCACGCTGGAGCTGAACACTACCACTTGGCTTGGGGCAGGTTTTGGGAAACAAAACGCGCCGGTGTGCCTCCTGGGGACCTGCCTGGGTGACTGAGAGGTGGCGGACAGATGATGGAACCCAGCTAGTTTTGGGACCTGTCCCGAGCACCCTTTTTGCCGGCAAGCTTTGGCTGGGGTGGGCCACCAGGAGAAAGGATCGTGGTGCTGCAGGGAGGAAGGCCCAGGCAGGTCCAGCAGGCGCCATCAAGCGACCCGCGATGGTTCACGTCGCCCCTTCTTTTCTCATTTTGATCTTTTTTTTTTGTCTTCCCCTTTTCTTCCGCACCCAGCTGAATGAATCCGCCAAGCAGCTCATCGAGATGGACAAGACGTGCTCGGCTGCCGCCTCCGGCTGCGACATGCCGCTGCCCGCGGAGACGGCGGCGGCGGCGGCGGGTCTGGCACCGTGCTCCACGTTGGCCGGTGCTGGGGCGGCCGGGGCAGCCCAGCGGCAGGCGGAGGGCAAGAAGAACGCCAAAAAACGCCATTCCTTCACTGCCCTCAGCATGACGCACAAGTCCTCCCAGGCCGCCAGCAACCGGCACTCCATGGAGATCAGCGCACCCGTCCTCATCAGCTCCAGTGACCCGCGGGCGGCCGCCAGGATCGGGGACCTGACCCACCTCTCCTCCAGCGCCCCGGCCCAGGTAAGGTGGCAGGGAGGGGGGTGGAGGTGTGTTTTGGGTGCCCTCGGTGGACGGCACACCCTTGCCTCGCTTCTTTCAAAATGGTTGACCCTCGCATGAAGCGGTTGCACGGCGCTGTCGTCCCGATGCAGTGGTACTTGGCGTCTGTTGTTCCCATCCTTGCATTAATCGGTGGGCATGCGTGAGGAGCCAGACGATAAAGCCAAATTTGATTCACCTTGATGGAACATCTTTTAAAGAAAAGCAATCCTACAATTTGTTTGAAGTAATGCAGCTTATGTTGCATCACTTTCTGTCGTAGAAAGAAATAATTTTGAGCGATCCCATTATCCTCAATGTATCTGTTACCCTGCAGGGTAGCAATGTCGGTGTGAAATTCACACACTGGGGATAAAAAAGGTTTTTGGAGTAATCATTTCCCTACAGATCACTGGAGGATGAGCAAATGTGCCGTACTTTGATGTGTGTTGTACCCAGCAAGTAGCTGCTGTTCAGAAACACCCAAGGAGGTTTTAAACCATCAGATGTGCTGAGGATACAGCCCCCTGTCCTTCCCCCTCTCAAAGGAGGGGGCAGAGGAGCAGCCTCCAGGGCATCCCTGCAGGTCCCTAAAGGAGCTTCCGAGAGGCTAATTCTGGGAGCCTGGCAGAACCAGGAGTCAAACTCAGCAGGCATGCACTGAAACCTCTTGCAAATGCCCGCTGTTTCTGTGGATAAGGGAATCCAAGTGGTAATTTGCAGTTTGAAGGCATAAAAGAGAAAGGGGAATAATAATAGTCCCAAAGGTCTTCTGCCTTGGCCTGCCTGCTCAGTCATCTACGTACTTGGTGTGCAGATTAGCAGCAACGGGTTCCCTCTACGGACCAGCTCCTCGTGGTCTGGGCTGCTTGCTAGCACCGAGATAACCTAAGCATGGCAGGGTCTTCCCACCCATCATTTTTCTGCTGAAAAAAGCATCCCTCCCCTTTTCGTCTTCCTGGCCATGCCTTCCTGCCCCTTCGCACCCATATCCCCATATCAGGACAAATTTGGATCGCTTCCCACCCCTTGGGCAGGAATACCTGTTTATGCCCATTTGCAGACCGGTGGGGCTCCCCCGGAGGGTCGGTGTCGTGCCCCAGACTGCGGGATCACTCTTGATGGCTGTGCCGTACCAGCACCCGTGACGTGAGCCCCCAGATCCCTACGGTGCAGGTTTGCAAAGACGCCGGGGAAGGCAGGGTGCCTGCGTGCGTGCCGATGTGTGCCACGGGGCCAGCGGGAACGGCGTGTGGAGGGGACACCCCCATGGTGGAGCAGCACCCTCTGCTCCTGCCTCAGCAGCTCCCCTCCCTCCGCTGCCCATCCACATGTAGGAGCCGGAGAGGCAGCTCGGTCCGACTGGAACTTAGCTTATTTTCTTCCAGATGCCTTTTCCAGGCAGGGTTTCCGTGCCGTAAGGTCTTCCCCCTCCTTTCAGCCCTCAGCAGGAGGGTGAAGGTGAGGATACGGCCTCCACGTAAAGCAGCGCCTGTGCCAAGATGCACTGGGACATCTGTGAAGCAGCAGAAGCACTAGACGTGAGTGAGGGTCCCAAGCTTGTCAAGTAAACGACACCCAGGTTTTTGGCACTCAGAGTGACACATTTGGACTTTACAGAGATGTGACAGACTGTGGCTTTTCTGTTCTTGTGCTAGTCAAGGGAAAAACCATGCACACCCTTTGCTAGAGTCATGTGAAGACTCATTCTAAGCTAGCAAACCACAAAAATTAGACCACGAAGCAGAAAGTGCCTTGACTGTTCTCGCCCATTTTAACAGAACGAGTGGTGTGCAAAACCCCACTCGTGTCACACACCATTGTGGCATTTTGGCACAAGCAGTAGGGGACAAGAAGGGCGCCGTGTTCTCTGTAACCAGTTACGGTTATCAAAATCCAGCCTGAAGGAAGGTTGGTTGGGTCCTTTGCAGCAGATGGGAAGACACGTAATTGGTGTTACCATCAGAAGCACAGCTAGGGCTAGGGTAAAATGAAGGCACTTCAGTGTGCCCGTGGTGGGAAGAGATTTGGGGAGTCGTTCTTCTGCCTCCGGGCACAGAGCAGGTTTGCAGACAAGGCAGCTGAGCACAGGCCTCCTTCGCTGCTGGCCAAAACTGTCTTGGCCAAAATCCAGGAAGGGGAAAAAGAGTCTTGGTGGTTCGGATCAACCTTAGCGAAAAGAGGTTTCCCTCTGTCAGAAAGTGTTGTTGCAGCCAAAGGACCCGGTTGCCCCAAGCGTGGCATTTGCATGTATGAATACGTATCTCTGCTTTTGGGGGCCTTCCTATTTGCTTTCTGGTTTGAGGGATTTAAACATTTTTTTTTGAAAACTTTGCTAGGAATGTGGGTCTGTCGGGGAAAAAAAAGAGGAGCTGACATTCTCACTATATTCTCTTCACTGTAGGAGCAGCCCTCAGAAAAATGCCTTGCTGTTGTAAGAGTAGTAATAAAATCACAAGAGCCACCAACATGAATTCACCTGCTTTCAGCTTTCTTAGGTCTACAAAGAGTCCAGAATTTGCCTCTTACAAAATGTACATTAAAATTGTGCAGCTATATTTATATGTCTATTAATCCCATAAAAATAGAGGTTACATTTACATATTTAAAATGGCAGAAATTCAGTTCCTTCTCTGCCATCTGCTAAGACCTGACACGGCTCTGAAACAATTAATGATGCTGCAGCCTTAGACAGAAAATCAGTTCAGCATTTTTCTTTTATTCACGTGGCTGAATGCCAGCCAACGTAGCATAAACAAAGGGCCCCTGAGTTCTTACTTCAAGGCATTCGGGGCGGCGAGAATCCTGTCTTCGGATCGTTTTGTTCTAAGATGTTTTTGCCATTTTTAAGGTAAATGTCCTGTTTGTCTTACTAGGGGTTTGACGTCTTGACAACCTCTAAACGGACTCTACTGCTGCTTTGGAAGAGCTCAGGGGCATTGCTGAGAGCACGGGCAGGTTGGTAGGAAGGCTGTGCCTGTAGCTGCCAGACTTACTGGTGAGCTCTGCCGCAGGAATATCTCCCACCTTTTCTTTCCTCACTTGAAGAGGAACCTCTCTGCCCTGCAAGTCATCGTCACAGCCCTTGAGTGGTTCTCTCCGTAACCATCTCAAGCCTCTGCTAGTTTGCAGCAGCAAAGTCAGCCAAAGCATATTTCTTATAGGGGAAACAACAGATTTACAGTTTCAGTGCTGACTATCTAGGAAATTTATGCCTTTCCTTTCACCATTAGAATCCAAATTTGGGGTTTTGTGTCTTTATGTCATGTCCTTGAAATTTCCAGGCACTTTATCATTGTTTATTTAACAGATCTCCTCATAAAAAGAAATAAAGGAATTTTGTTCAGTTTAGTAGGTATGAGCTTCTCTGGTCCCTATCAGGATTGGTATTTAGCTTGCAGGGGGGGTTCTACCTTTTGAAAAAGTTTGTCACAGTTTTCCTATAGCCTGTCCTTTGAACAAGTGAAATTCAGTTACAGGAGTTCTTGAACGTCATCCAGTCCCCTACCTCAGGCAACCGGCTGGTGCCCAGCAGAACACTCTTCTTAAAACAAGCATCCATTTTCCACCTGAGGCGCCTACATCTGGGGCACCTGCTTTTTCTCTGCTGACATGAGAGGAAACAGAGACATCGAAGGCTTCTTACTGTACGAACTTAAAATTTAGGTGCACATTTTAGATGTTTCGGTAAATGTGGAATATATTCCACCCCTTAGAAGTGATTTCATGCATAGGACTGTATTCCTGTGGCTTTTGTCAATTTTTGTGAATTGAAACCAGACTTTCACGCCAAGCTGACATGTTTTTTGTTTTTACGAGTTGTTAGACTATTATAAGCCTCCCGCTTCTCCAGGAGGGCACAGATTTATGCGTACTGAGCACTGACATTCAGACCAGGGTATGAAATCACATGTTTTGAAAGCACTTCTGCATATCATTAATTTAATAATTGAAGACTACAGGCCTTCCATAACATGTTCGTTATTCTTTAAGCAGAACCAAGTCAGCTGTTCCCCAAAAGCCAAGATGCATTTTGAAATGATTGATGGTCTAAAAACCATCTTTGTTGACTGCAAACCTAGGGATGCTCAAAGGTAGAAGAATCAACTTCAAGCCACGTCAGCTGGATAAAACAGTGACTGGAAGACCACCATAGCCAGGATACAAAGCATTTATTTTCAAAGAGGCAATGCTGGGATCTTCATTTCGCTTGCAGCCAAATTTACTTCTTGTATGCTTTTTGTTGCATGCTGAGTATCACACGTTAAACGTAAGATCCCCTTCTAAAAGGTAATAGTGTCTGTACATCACGCAGAATGTCCTATCATGCTGGCAAAATGAATTTTTATTGAAGATGTCAGTAGTGCTGCAGGCCTGTGATGGAGCTGAAGCTGAATTAGGTTACGGGTGCAGAGGAGCAGTTCGTAACTGAGACTCCCCGGGGAGCGGGGAAGGTCCCCCTGGACAGTAATTGTGCCTAGGCCTCAGATGGCTTGTCTTGCTTCCATTTTCACCCTTTATGAATTATTCTTCTGTGCTATTTGGAAAGGTCACAGGTCAGCACTGCTCCAAATCCCCTGATTTTTGACAGCACATGCATCTCATGAATAATGAAGTGTGGCTTTGTGCACACCAGGATGACAGCTGAGTGAGGAAAAAGGATCCTGCCTGCAGAAGGAACTTTTCTGTGTGCTTTGAACAACTCGTCGCCACGCACGAGAAGTCTATTTGTATCTGCAAGTGTTAGTACAGGCTCCTAACCAGAGGCCACATGTTCAGGAAAAGCTGAGAACAATGTCTTGTATGCTCCCAATCCCGAGGAGTGACAGTGTTTGAAATGAAAAATGTTCCTTGAAGTGTCTCGCTATATAAATCATTTGGAAGTGTGACTCCTTATCAGTTATTTAGAAGTGCTGAATTTTAGCTGAGAAAATGTAATAGCAGAACTTTGGTTGAGCCTTGGCTGATAACCTAAATGTGCT